TGCAGCACGGTACAGCCCCACCAGCTGATTCGTCGAACGTGTCACCAGCTCAGTAGCCAAAAAAGGGCTCTTCAGCAACCAGCGTAGCTCTTGTATATGCCTGGATGTCGTCGTCGTGGTCCTCGTAATGCCCAGCAGTGTAGCCTCAGCCCCGTTCTGGAGCTCTCCCTTTACTGATTGTAGCTTCCGCAGTCTCCCACCAACTCTCACTTTCGTCAACCCGAACAGTTTCCGTATCTTCTTCCACCCGTCCGCCCACATTTCTCCTCTCTGGAAAAACACCTTTCTCTCAACTTTTTTGTCGGCTCTCCATCCTTCCTCTAACCAGGTGAGAAAAGAGGTAAGTGAGACTCTATCATCTTCGATCTTGAAGCTGACTATCGTCTTGGCCTTTGATTGGTAAGTTTTGAGTCTCTTCCTTCTTCTTTCCCTCTTTCCTGTCCTCCCCTTCCGCTTCCCGGACGTCTCCTCTCCCCTCGCATTGCAGGTGTTAAGACTTGGTGAAAAATCACGAATCAGATGCATCTCGAACGCCCGGTCATCCTTCTCATTCGCATGCCGAAGAGGTATGACAACGAAGTTATCCATCCCCATGTGCAGCATCCATCGCTATAACTTCGGCGAATTCCCTATTGCATCCGTGCTTGCATTACTCAAATGCCCCCGCCACCTCTGCATTAGTGGTCGAATGGTGCTACCGATATAGACCTTCCTYGACCACGGGCTGGCGATCATGTAGACCCCAGTCTTCCTCAGATCGATAAGATCGAGTATTCCGTCTGATCTCGACATAAACTTAGTTAACCAGGGGATCTGTCCCCTCAAAATGAGTAAGATTACAGTTGTTGTGATCACCCGTTCCACTTCACCCAACAGGTCTCCGCTTCTGCCCTGCCCCCATAGTGCCGACCGCATTTTCACATATGAGCTTAACTTTTCCCATAAGCTGCATGTCGGAGCGGGCATAGGTAGTCAATTCGGTTCTTGCTCCCTCGCTGGCGCCGACTTCAAAATTACCCGCGTTGGTGCTGACTTCACAGACGATCTCGTCTCGCGTGTCTTCCCCTTCCGATCTTGCGTTAGGACGTCTTCGCCCAGCTTGGTCGTAGCCTGCTCGCTATCGTCTCCTCCATCTTCTGCTTCCTCAAAACCTTCGTACTCTAACATCACCTGCTCTCGAGCTAGGACATCTATGATTTCAGGTTTCTTGGTATATCGAATACCTTTCTTCTGGCATATTTTCCTTAATAGGAAAGCTTTCTTCGACGATAGTATTTTCTGAGTAGATAAATAGTAGTCTATTATTCCCTCCCTGGAGCACTTCGCCGCGAGCCCTTTGTAGCCTTTCTCCATTGGAGTCTTCGGTTCTTCCCCATCCGTCTCGCCATGGTTGCTTGGTACGCCAAATCTCACCCCAACGGACGGAATCGGGGTATGGTATTCGGCCCGGTTGGTCCGTTCTTCTTGGAAGCCTGCCCCAACATCGTTTGCGTTCCTTAAAACGTCATCACAATTCTCAAAATTACATCTGTTCCGTTGGTTCGGCTTCGATCATTCTCCCCTTTCCGTCGTCGTCCCCTTCCTCGTCGGTGTAGCCTCCCTCTTCTTCTTCACTTTCCCTTTCATCTCCTTCCTTGCTTTCTTTCTCTTCTTTTTCATCTTCAACATCTCGATTACCTTGCGAAACTCTTCATCAGAATCAGTGGTTTCGCTATCGGAAGTATCCGAAGTCTCTTCCTCTGGCTCTGTCGATGAGAGGATCACCCGCGGTCGTTTCTTATTTGTGCGGTACCTCACGTTCGATTTTCTGCCAATCTTCACTCTCGATCCCTCCGCTATCGTTCTTGTCTCTTCCTCCTCAGTTCCAGATCCCGATCCCGACATTAGCGTTCGTGTTCGTTTCTTTGATGACCCGGCTGGTGTTCTCATCTTGGTAGCGCTCCTCATAATAGCCCCTTCAGCTCTGACCCGTGCCTCCTCCGCCTTAGCCTTCGCCTCTTCCGCTTTCGCCTTTGCCTCCTCGGCCTTCGCCTTTGCCGCCGCAACGGCTTCCTCAGCTTGTCGTGTTTGCATCCGCCATTTCTCTTCTAGCCGTGCCTCCAGTTTCAGCCGCATCTCCTTTGTTCTTCTGATGAGGTCATGCTCTCTTCTTTTCTCGTTCTCTTCTTGAATCCTCCTCTGTTCTTCATCACGTTTCCTTTCCTCTGCCTCCCTTTTCTCCTATATCACCTGTCTAAAATGTTGTCGCATCTCCTCTATTTCGTTATCCTCACTTCTACCCTTTTTAGTCCAGCAGTCGCGAGAATAGTGACCCGGCTTCCCGCACGTGTAGCAGACTACCGGCTGTCTGCCCCCGTTCCCTCCGTTCCCTCCGTAGCCTCCCCCGCCGTTATTTCCATAGCCTCCCCCCATATTGCCATTGTAGCTTCCTTCAGCGCCTCCTGAGTTCCCATACCCTCCCGTCCCTCCCTGCTTGTTTGCCCCTCCTCCGTACATTTTCTCGGTTCGCAATCCCACCTCCTAGTAATACCGCTCCCCCTTCTCGTCTTCGTGTGTTACTCACCTTCGTTCCTTATCCTGATGTTAAACTTGGCCGTATATCTTCGTCGCCATCCGTTCTACCTCCTTCCGTACGCCCGTCTCAACTCCACCTTTTTAAGGCTAACCAAGATTTCTCGTACACATACTCTTGCTCATACCCACGATCATGTAGATCGTGTATACCGTGTAGACCATGTCGCCCTTCCTCTGTACATTACGCCGTACTTAATCCGCCTCCCCGTAACACAGCTCCCTCGCTCTCTTCCTGTGTGTTATGTGCCTTCGTATCATATCCCGTTGGTAAAAGCTTGGCCCGTAGATCTTCGTCTTCCTCCGTTCTATCTCCACCCATACGCCCGTCTGAACTCCCCACTCGCTAACGCAAGCCAAATACTCGTACTCGTACCCGTACTCATACCCACGATCATGTAGATCGTGTAAACCGTGTAGATCGTGTCGCCCCTCCTCCGTATGTTATCACCGTATGTAGTACCGCCTCACCATAATACCGCACCCTGCTTCTCGTTCCCGTGTATCACTCGCCTCCGTACCATATCCCGTTTGTGAAAACTTGGCCAGTGTAATAACTTCGTCGACCTCCGTTCTACCTCCACCCGTACGCCCGTCTGAACTCACTTCTTGCTAATGCTATCCAAAAGATACTCCGTGTTCTTCGACTTTGTCTACTCTCTATCTCCCTTCACTCCCACGCTACACCTCAACCCTCCTCCTCCTCTATTCTTTTTCTCATACATACCTGTAGTCGTACACGTACTCGTCATCATCCTCGTGTAGATCGTGTAGACAGTGTAGACCACCGAGTAGACCTCCATGTAGACCTCCATGTAAACCTCCATGTAGACCTCCATGTAGACCACCGTGTAGACATAGCGACCGTGAAGCTCCCAGTACTCCCGGTTACCATGCGCCTTAGGTAGACTGCGGCAAAACAGCCCATGCAACTGGCCTGATCACAACAAAATAGAACTTTTCCGTGCGTATCATTCATAATATCAGAATTTACAAATCTCAGCGACACGCAGGGTCTCCCTGCTTTCCATATCCCTTTCCCATCCCTCTTACAAAACACCCCYGTTTCCATCTTGSCATGACCACTCCATCRCCACCATCTCCTCCTACGAGCTTCGTAGCATTCCTCGACGCGTTTCGTCCGCCCACGAGCGGACTCATCAGGAGGTGAAATCCGAAGATTYCGTAGCTCTCAKACAGCTCTTGCCCTGCTRTCTGTCCTAAGYACACCGGTCCCTCCCTCTCGGTTMCCCTGGCCCGGTACTGCCGRCCGACCTTTTTCAAGAACTTTAAAATTTTAAAAATCTGCATTCAAGAAAACCCGGTWSTCACCGCCAGGCATCAGCCRCCAGACCTCAAACAACATCTTCCTTYCMGTCCCRGCCTGAACCGGTCTAACGGTCTGGTCCCCCCAGTATTTTCCTACMTCTAAATTGTCACACTACCCKKTTTGGTACCCCCTTTTTTTAATTTATTTTCTTAATTTATTTTCTTCATSCGACCCCTCTAYGGTTGCCCTGCCCACTTGACCCCTCGTACAGCAGTTTCAATGCCATCCACAGACAGCGCAGACATGGGTCTTCCACAGCCTTGACCAAACTGGCCAAGGCACCAAGAGAGACCTCCGGGGCATATCCCCGGAGGTTTGCCTCCCAAACAGCATAGGCTATATAGCCTACCACCAGTGCCTGACTCGACGTGGAGCTCCATAACCTCTTCAAAGTAGCTATTAGGGCCGTTCTCTTCGTCCTTTTCTCAGAGTACGAGCTGTAGTCCTGCATAGTCTGATACTTCAGCCTGTTCTCCTCCCTCAGTGCACACTGATTCTTGGTCTCAGGTACGTACAGTAGTCTCACCGGGTCGTCCAGCACATACATGGTGCCTCCTAGGAAATGCCACCAGTCCCGGGATTCGTCCTTCCGGACCAGATGCAGATTCCTGTCGTAGCACGACTCCAGCTTCTGAAAAATATCCTGGCTTCGCTTCTTATCTTTTTCTTCATCCATCCTTCGTCCGACAATCACTGTAATGTCGTCGACGATCCTCCATCCTGCAACAACCTTACGATCTCCTCCCAGTTCAGTGAGGAACTGGTACTCTGCCATCGCACAGGTGATGGCCGCCAGAATTGGACTGGTAGACTTTCCCATCGGAATCCCGGACACCTGTCTCTTAATCTCCTCTCCGCACGTGATGTACGCATGATCCAGATCGTAATTCACCAATCTGAAAATGAGCTGAAAATTTATACTCACGTACCCATCGGCGGACTTGCCTGTCTTGCTGAGTGTACATAGCTTCCCCCTTCTAGAGACTCTCACCTGCTTCCATCCCCTGTTCGCATACCATACCAGCAGTCTCCATATCGCTTTCCATACCGCCTCGTGTGGAATCCTAGTGGACATGTCCTTGATATCATAGCACCTTCCCTCCATCCTTGTACATTGCGCATCTGTCAACTTTTTTGTAGCCCTTTGCAGCCGCGCTGGTAGCTCCTGTATCGAATTCAGATAGGACTGTTCCACCGGGAACTGTTTCATAAGGTAATGCAGTGCCCTCACTACTCTCCTCTGCGCTTGTCCCGCTGGTGCAATGGGTCGCCACCTCGTCAAGTCCTTGTCTTTTGGGATCACGTATGCACGTCCTATCCGTCCATCCACCTTCCACACCGCTACCTTATTCAGCTCCGCCTTTTCGTAGTCTTTTCTGGCTTGTGTCAGAAGTCCCTTCTCGTCTCCTCCAACTCCTTCGTAGTCTGGGTTCCAGACAAAAGTCTTCCCGAATGCGTGCATGTATAGCACAGGACACACGACAGCGGTATCTCCCTGATTACGGTCTATAGGTGCGAGAACCATTCCCTGAAATCTCTTCGCCCATTGTGCCACTGCCGTATCCTCCCATGCTCCGTTTTCCTCGGACTTACTGTTTCCACATAAAAAACCTCCCTCCGGCACCTTGACGTCCTCAATTCTGCTCTTCAGATGATTCGTAGCCTCCAAAATGGCTTGCACCACCGGACCGTCCTCCGTCATGCTCTCATGCCGAGTTACATTCTTCGCATTTTTCACAAAATCGGGTATGCCGTTCAGATCAGAAAACCTCGTACTCACGTGTCCTTCCTTGGTCGGTAGCCCTGAACCTCGGCACTGACATACCTGTTCATTCACGCTTACGTACCTTCGATGGTTATGGATAATCTCCCCCACTGTCTTGTTCCGACACCAGGTCACCCTGATTCGGTTTTTTATCACATCTCCAACTGCCTTGTCCCCGACACATTTGCTCACTACCCCTGCTGCAGTCTCCCTGATKTTCTTCTTCACTAGTCTTCTAYCATACSRAACTTTTACKGTCACCCTTCTTCTCACTCCCACCTYCRTCTTTTTCCGTATCGCCCGGTCGATCTTYAAAYGAAGGTMATTTTTTGTCTTCTYATCACTRAACATTCSTGCAGCACGGTACAGCCCCACCAGCTGATTCGTCGAACGTGTCACCAGCTCAGTAGCCAAAAAAGGGCTCTTCAGCAACCAGCGTAGCTCTTGTA